GTCGCGCTGGCGCGGAAGGCAGAACCGCGAGAAGCGCTTCACGTTCGTGCTGGCCGTGGTCATCGGCGTGTTCGTGGTGTGCTGGTTCCCCTTCTTCTTCACGTACACGCTCACGGCCGTGGGCTGCTCCGTGCCGCGCACGCTCTTCAAGTTCTTCTTCTGGTTCGGCTACTGCAACAGCTCGCTGAACCCGGTCATATACACCATCTTCAACCACGACTTCCGCCGCGCCTTCAAGAAGATCCTCTGCCGCGGGGACAGGAAGCGGATCGTGTGAGCGCGCGGTCCCCGTCCCCCCGCCCGGCCCCCCGCGAACAGACTCGCGTGGACTGCAAGCCGCGGGGATGGAGGGGCGCCTCAACGCAGCCCCAGGACTCCGAACCCGCCGGGGTCTGCCTATTCCGCGTTTCCTGGCCGGTGGCCGCCCTGCTCTTTCCTACCAGGGAAAAGTACTGGTTGGGGGAGGGGCACACGCCCCCCAATTGTTGTTAGGGCCGCTCCTGACTCCCAGCGATCTTCCAGGGTTCTTGGGCCGCCCCTAATCAGTATTGTTTCCTACAGGTATTTTCACCTCCTGTGAGTCCGGAGCAGTTCAGAGCAAGCGCTGGAGCCCAGAGGGTGTGTGGCTCACGAAGGGTTAACGAAAGGGGTTACCCAGACCTGGCGAATTGCTTTCCCTCTCCCCCCAACTCTATTTTTAAACAAAGCTCAGGGCAGCCCAGTCCGCCCTCCCTACCCCCACTGTAAATATACACTATTTTTGATAGTACATGCGGGGTGGGGGAGGGGGTCCCCAATATCGCTTGGCTTTTGATGTCGGAATCCTGGCTGTTGGAGATGCCCTCGAGGCAGACACGTTGTGTCTGGTTCAGGCCAAGTCCCTCTGCAATGCAAGCCCTTTTCAAGTGTCATTACCTCCCTCTATGTCCTTTTCACCATGGTGACTGTTCCTTTGGGCCTGGACCTGCTTTGAGATTTCCTGGGGTGGGGGGGGAGTGGGGGGGCGGAGATTTGTCCATTTTTTCTCCTGTGCCTCACAGCATAATTGCCTTTTCCTATGTAAATATTGCAATGATGGACCAAGACAGAAGTAAATGAACCTTTCTGCCTTGCATCAGCCCCGTGTATAAAGCCATTATCCCCTGAGGCACCATCGCCCCAGTAACTCACTTTAAAACCCTCTCTTTCCCGTGTCCCCTTCCTTCTTTCTCTCCGGGGCACTGCTCGAAGAATATGTATGTTTCTATTTTGTATGTATGTGCGTGCGCCCTTGGGTCCCCCAAAGTGCTGACTCTGGGGAAATCTTTTAGCTGCTGTTTTTAGACACAGAGGAGTGGAAATTATGTGGAAGAGGCAAACCTGATATGATTTGCCCAAGGTAAACAATTGAAAAGACAAATGAGCCTGCCAAACTGTGCAGTTCCTGCACCAAGAGCTCACAGGTATCAAAGTGTTGTCCTTCCCCCATCCCCCACCCCGCTGTTTTTCTGGTTGAGATCATGTCATTGATGAATTCCCAAAGTCAACTGAGGAGGGTGGAGACCTCCTGTTTACATCGGAGTTTCTACATGTTTTAGACTCTTTTAAGGCCTGCGCTCTTACTTCACTAAAGAAAAATTAATATCAGCACATGTTGCTAATGACAGTGGATTTTTTTTTTAAAATAAAAAGTTTACAGATCAAATGTGAAATAAACATGAATTAAATGGTCCTGCCTATTATCTGAGTTTCCAAAAGCTTTAAGACTCTGGGAACATGTACATTATAAAACACACTTTTAAAAGTGCAAGCCATAACAAAACTACCATTTATCAAGTATTTCTCATGTGCTGAACACTATGGTGAGCCCGTTATCTCTATTTTATAGGTAAAAAAAACTGAGTCTCAGAGGGCAAATGATTTGCTCAAGGTTAACAGGTGGTGGAAATGCACTGTGTCCAGCTTTGTCTGGTTCCAGGGACTGCACTGCACGCGTAACCCTAGAGCCTTGCAGCGTCACGTGATTACCACTTTGCAGAATGCTGCCAGCAGTGAGGTCTCTACACAAAATGTGCTATGCACACAAAATGGGATCTATCTGAGGTGTGTAGGTACACACAAAGTGTGTACATACCACAAAGTGTCTAAATGTCCTAAAGTGGATATATCTCAAAGTGTATATATTCTCCTTGAAGTATGGTATATGCACAAAGTGTAGAATATACTCTAGAATGTATATCACACCTTCCAGTGTGATAATACCCAACGTGTGGTGTGGAATCCATAGTGTGGTACATGCAGAGTGCAGTATAAACATCTAAATAGAACCACGTGTTACTTGGTGGCTTGAACTGTCTCCGGCCAAAGGCACGAATTCTTCCTGTTGCATTTCCGTACGATCACGTTTCACCCTTCTGTCTAGCGAAACTTAAGATCCTCGCCTGATAGTTAAGGTTATGACACTTGGAAGCAGGAAGGGCCCTTTGAGAGCCAGGAATCCAACCCCTCATCTTCCAAGAGGAGTGACGTGCTCAGCGTCCCACACCGCTGGCTATGTGCTGCCTTGTTCAGTTGGGAAGCGGCTGAGCCGTGTAGAGCAATTCTGATGAAGACCTATTGATTGATTGGGTTTGATGGGCAGTCACAAGCTTCATTCAGGTCATGGTTTGGGGAAAGATGGACTTTGTGGGTCCAGCCACATATAACACAAGTGCAGACCAGCTCTGGATGCCCCAGAAGCGGGCCCTCGAGCACCCTCTGGACAGCACTTGTTTTCCTTAATTTCCTTAATTTTGGTGGGGGAGAGGTTGTGTGTGCAGGGGTGGAGGGTGGAGAGCCTCAGAAGTCATCTGGGCTCTGGGAGACCTGGCAGGGGGATGATGCTGGTTCTGAGGGGTTTTTGTAGAAGCGAGAATGAGTTCCTGCCATCACGCAGCCGTCTGAGGAGGCTGGCTCTAGCTGCCTTGCCTTGGGGCTTCATACACCCTGGCCTTTGCAGCTAAGTCTGGCTTCCTGGTCTGGTGCTGAGCCCTGCTCCCCAGCCTCACTCCAGCCTCTCTCTCCCTCCCACTCAAGGCACCCATTGCCCCAAAGGTAAACAGTGCCAGACAATAGGCCAGCCTGGCAGGCCCCCAGGAACTTGGCTGTGTATCCCAGACAAAGGGCAGATACAAACACTGCTTGCTGTTGACTCTTTTCTGCTCTGTCTGCTGGTTGTGTTTGCCTTCAGCCTCAGAGGCCCTGCTTCCTTGGGTATGGGGGAAGTTTCAGCAATGGTGCTTCTAGGGCAAGCCTCTGATGTCGCTCCCACCCCCCACCCCGGACCCATTCCAGCAACAGAGAAGCCTCAGAGATGGAGGGGGCTTGGGGAAAGTGGGAAAGAGAGGGTGGAGTTCACAGGGTCCTCATCATTCATTGCAGAGGGCTCAAGCAACAGTCTCCAAAGGTCTGGGGTGGCGGGGGCGGGGGGGACTTTAGGAAGAGAATGGCCCATATGGGGAATCTTAGCTTAAAGATCAGGTGAGACTGACTTCTGACAGCTTCCTTGTCCCATCCAATCCCAATTATTTAGGCCGAGAGGTTCTATCTTCATGGCGGAATCTCTTATTTTATGTGACTTTGGTTGAGGTCTCAAAAGCCACTGGCTTTTGGATCTGAAGTGTGTCTTGCCAGATTTTCACTCCTGCAAGTTGTCTGGAGTTGGGGGAGGGGGCAGTGCCCTCACTTGAGCCTGAGTGCAAGACTTTGTTCAATTTCTTCTGTGCTCTAGGGCTGGGGAAAAGAATGATGAAAAAGTGACTTAGGCTTTCCCCTCTTGACGATCCTATAATTGAATCGGAGTGTTAGAGCCAGATTTGCCAAATGCATCCTCCATTCCCACAGTGTGCTATTGAGTCCTTGAAAAGCCAACTGGTTATGTGGCCCTGGAGCCCGCTGCCCCCCTGATGCCATCGATATCCAACAGGAATTCTGTTTTGCCATTGGATTTGGTGAGTTGCTGATCAACCCCAGAGGAGCCCTCTGTGCCTGCTCTGTGCCAAGCACCATGCCAAGCACCATGCCAGGCACTGTGAGGCAGCTCTCTTCCTTTCATGCATGTGCCCTGCAGAGCCCAGCACTTGTCCCTAAGCGACTAGGGCCAGCCCTGTGCTCCAGAAGCATTAGGTTGCCTGGGGAGACAGGACGAGCCTGTGTGAAATATTAAGTAGCCACATAACTAACAGTGACTGTGTGGTGGGGGATAGTGCTAAGTGTCCACTGAGGATCATGGGCATCTACCTGTGCCCTGAGAGTGCAGTGGGGGAGAGGTTGCTGTGGTTGGGAGCTCTCTGAGAGCAGGGTGTGGGAGCTGGGGTGCAGGACTTTAGCTGAGGGAGAAGGGGTGGGGCAGGCAGCTCTGGTTTTAGTGCTGCTAGGCCTAGGTCAGACTTTAGCTTTCATTTCTCCATCCTGATCCCTGGGGATGGCGTGGCTAGCTCCTGTCCCTGTTTGAGGACACCCATTGGAAGCCTACCTCCCTGACTCAAGTAGAATAGCAGGATCCAGGTATCCACACCTGACCTTGCATCCAGGCCTCTGTCCTGGGCCCTGCCATTCCCCATAGAAGGTCTGAGAGTCTGGGATGCAGGAAGGGGTGCCTTTTTCAATAGGGGATGTGCCTGTGAGGGAAGCCACATGATGTCACTGAGCATAATTACAAACGCTAGGGTTTGTTTTGAAAATAGCATCGATCTCTTTGATTACCAGAAATTCTGGAGTTTAGAGTTAATTACAAAAAAGGACCTGCTGGGAAGAACCTGGTCCAGGCCATTAGGCGAACTTGCCTTTTACCGGAGGTGCGACACTGGGCCTAAGGCCCTTTCTGAGCCCCCGTTTCTTCATTTATAAAATGAAAATGGTCGATCTAGATCAATGTTATTTAAAAGTGTGTTCCATCGAGGTTATTACAAAATCAACCTCTCTCTCACGTACACACACACACACACACACATTTATTATCTATCATCTGTCTGTGTGTCTTTCTACATCATCCATATTATCTATCATCTGTCTGTGTGTCTTTCTACATCTGTCTGATGAAATGCTGGGTTAAACGATCTATAACAGGTCCCTTTCATCATGGGCTTCTCAGAGTCTTGAATACTCCAGTGTGGGTTATGATTCTCTGAGAGGGGATGGACATGGTGAGCTATGTTTGGCACATTCGCTGGACTGCAGACTTCCGCTTTTTACAGAGTGTCTCAGTGAACCATGCTTGCTGGAACACTTGTTGGGTCATACTGGGCTCAGGGATCTCACTGGGCTTTTCACTTGATCGGCTTCGAGATTCTGTGACTGCCAGCTCTGCTCTCTTCTTCTGTCCCTCCTTCAGGTGAGGCACGCTGGGCAGGGCAGAGCCATGTGTTCTTCCTGGGCACAGCTGGCTCTGAGAGTCATTGGCCTCGTGGAAGCTTTGGGTTGTGCTGGGGTTGTTATGAATATGGCCACACTGCGCACGCACATGGACATACAGACACACTGTCACACAGACACAGACGGACTCATGCAAACCATCCTCCTGGCCAGCTGCCGAGTCAGGTGAGAGAGAGCCCCAGGGGACCATGTGGCTTGCTCTTGGCCAAAGTCGTCTAGGCTATCCTCGTGTCTTTGGCTCAAGCCCGGCCAAGAGGCCAAGAAGGAGACACTGAGCTGCCCAGCAGTGGTGACTAATGAGGCTGGGGCCTTGGCGAGGGGCGGTGGGGACTGGCTTAGGTCAATGAGCCTACTTGTCCCCTGGGTGCACTGAGAGTTTTATTGCTCTTTACTTAGCACCTATGGGCACCCCTTAGCCTTCCTTCTCCTCAGCAGATACACCTTAAGGATTCTTTTTTATACCCTGTTTCAGAGGAGGCACTGAGAGTCTTAACGAATGATAGCTTCCTTCTCTTCTTCCTCCCTCCCTCCCTCCCTCCCTTCCTTCCTTCCTTCTTTCCTTCCTTCCTTCCTTCCTTCCTTCTCTTCTTCCTTCCTTCCTTCCTTCCTTCCTTCCCTCCTTCCTTCACTCCTTCACTCCTTCTTTCCTTCCTGCCTGCCTGCCTTCCTTCCTTCCTTCCTTCCTTCCTTCCTTCCTTCCTTCCTTCCTTCCTTCCTTCTTTTCTTCCTGCCACAACTATTTTTTTGATCTGTCCTCAAACTAATATCATGGATACTGTACTATTTGTGCTGGGGGTGAAGTGGTGAACAAGATAATTAGAATCTTCACCCCACAGAGCTGTTCTTTTGTGGGGAGACAGCTATTAAGTGGGCACCAGGGAATGGTAAGCAGGTTGATGAGGGTCATACAGTGGGTGACGGGGACTCACTGTTGGGGAGCCTGGCCTGGGCTAAGGCACCAGAGGAGGGTCCCCGGAGAAGTGACAGATGGGCAGGAATAGCCTGGCAAAGGAATCAGGGTGGGAGGGGGAGCATCGTATGTTTAAGCAACTAAATGAAGTCTAATTCATTCAGGACATGGGGCCTGAGAGGCGGAAAGGAGAGAAGAGAGGCTGAGAGGGGGTGGGCCAGACCATGCCGTCCTCTGGAAAGATTTATCTTGAAGACACTGGGAGCCACTGGAAGGTTTTTAGGCAGAGGACGAACATGATTTTTTTGTTGGGAAAATCATTCTGGCTGCTGGGTGGAGCCTAAAGGGGTGGGGAACAGTAAC